GTACTTCTCGTCATCATACTTGCCATCGTACTTCTTCTCATCATACTTGTAAATGTTGTCATCAGACCTCTTCTCATTGTACTTCTTGTCTTCGGTGATTTTCTCACCATATTGTTGCTTGTCATCGTAATTGTTATTGTGCTTTCCGTCATCGTACTTACCATCATACACCTTCTCATCATACTTGTTACCATACTTCGTCTCATCGTACTTCTTGTCTTGGGTCATTTTCTCACCATACTGATTCTTGTCATCGTAATTGTTATTGTACTTTGTGTCATTGTACTTGCCATCATACTTCTTCTCATCATACTTGTCATCATACTTCTTCTCATTGTACTCCTTGTCTTGGGTTATTTTCTCACCGTACTGCTTTTTGTCATTGTAAGTATTATTGTTCTCCCCGTCATCGTAGTTCTTCTCATCATACTTGCCATCATACTTGCCATCGTACTTCTTCGCATCGTACTTCTTGTCTTGGGTCATTTTCTCACCATATTGCTTCTTGTCATCGTAATTGTTGTTGTACTTCTCGTCATCGTACTTGCCATCGTACTTCTTCTCATCATACTTGGAAATGTTGTCATCATACTTCTTCTCATTGTACTTCTTGTCTTCGGTGATTTTCTCACCATACTGCTGCTTGTCATCGTAATTGTTATTGTGCTTCCCTTCGTCGTACTTACCATCATACACCTCATCATACTTGTTACCATACTGCTTCTCATTGTACTTCTTGTCTTGGGTCATTTTCTCACCATACTGGTTCTTGGCATCGTAATTGTTAACGTACTTCCCATCGTCATACTTGCCATTGCCGTCATACTTCTTCTCATCGTACTTCTTGTCTTCGTACATCTTCTCACCATACTGCTTCTTGTCATCGTAAGTGTTATTGTACCTCCCGTCATCGTACTTGCCGTCGTACTTCTTCTCATCATACTTCTTCTCATTGTACGTCTTCTCATCATAATTCTTCTCATTGTACTTCTTGTCTTGCGTCACTTTCTCACCATACTGGCTCTTGTCATCAAAATTGTTATTGTACGTCCCATCATCGTACTTGTCATCGTACTTCTTCCCATCATACTTGCCGTCATTCTTCTTCTCATCGTACTTCTTGTCTTCGGTCGTTTTCTCACCATACTGCTTCTTGTCGTCGTACTTCTCCTCACCATACTGCTTCTTCTGGTCGATGTCTTTCGTTTCATACTCTTTTTTACCATACTGCTTTTCAGCGTACTTCTCATAGTTCATGTTGTCGTTGTTGTGCTCCCCTCTGCCGTACTTCCCCTGATCATACTCCTTGCCCTCATCTTTCATGTAATAGTAGTTGTCGTTGCTGTACTTGTTGCCACCATAGGCATCATATGCAAGGCGCCTGCTGCCCCTGCCAATCTCTGTTTTGGCATTCCGACCGATAGTCCTTTTAGTCAAGGAGTTGCCCTGACCACCGTGGACAGCAAGGGACTGCATGCCCAGACCAAGCAGGACTAGTCCTATACAGCCTATGACCAACAGTGGCCATCTGGTCCAACCAGTGACTTCCTTCCTGGGGAACGCCATGGATTCTGAAGAGTCGGCGAAGACTATAAACTCGTGTCAATGATAGACCAGTTTGCAGAAGCAGACGAGTTGCTTGGCGGGCTTGGCTGAGTTCTTGCATCAGCAGCCACTGGCCGGATAGATGTCAGGTGATTGCCAGCAGACTAGTGTGGCAGGCAGCGACTGACTCCATTAGCCTGCCATCCTCGTCAAGCTGGTGAGGTCATGGCAGATCTGTGCAAGACGGTACACTTATATACTCCCCCAACCAACCAATGTGTGGCTGGTCGACTTCCCTCCTGCTGTTCCAAAGCAACCAAGCTCAGGCTGTGAAGGACAAGTGGTCTGGGAAACAGTGTCTACGAAGTACTAGTTGCTCGTGTTGGGTCCCTCCCTTGTGTGTTCAGCATTTAAGGCACCGGCTGTGCACAACCCTTATGGAAACAAGAATGTTAGGGGCTATCCCCCTGTCTCAGAAGGAAGGGCAAAACTCAGCCGTAGAGATGAACTATGAACTGGCCTGGGGGGCAGAGTGGACACAAAGTAAATTTATTTATTTATTAATTATTATTATTATTATTTTTTACAAAACACAAGGCTCCTTCTATTCTGGGGAGCAGCATTCCGGTTCCTCTTCCACCGGCAAGTCAATCCTTTCCGGAAATTAAAAAAAAAAAAGAATACAAGTTTTACCCACGCAATGCTCCTCCTCATTATGGTTGGGATGCCCGAGTGGACGGGACACAAAGTAATTTACTTGTGTGACGTCAGCTAATTGCCATGACTTAGGTCCCTCTAGCATGTAACTTTACAGGGTACTCGCAGCAGCAGTATCTTAAATGCATCTGATCGCATTCATGCCCAGACCTGGATGTATCTCGCCACAATTGTGCCCAGAAGTAAGTAAAAAAGTC